AGAGACAGACACAGAGACAGACACAGAGACAGACAGAAAGCACATGTGCACGTGCACACAACAAATTAACACAAATTTTAAGACAAGACAGCTTGAGGTAAAGTGTTTCATGCCCCAGAAGAAAACAATTTCCAACCCAGTTTGATAAATCCTGCAAAACTGATGGAAAATAATGTATTTCCATGACGAAGAGCACCTTAAGAAATTTGTCAAACCAGCACCCAAAATTTCGCATGGATATCCCAGAAAAAGACAATGAAGGCAACAATGTGAAAAAGTCTAATGGAATGAATACATCAGGTATGACAAGCAATTAAGCAATAATAAGAATAAAAGAAATCAGCAACAGGAAAAGGAGCCCTCCCACATTGTTGGTGGAAGCGTGATCTAGGACAAATCTACAGAAATCAGTATGGAGACGGCTCAAAAAAGTAAAACTAGAAATCCCATGCTACTCAGGTATTTCCCTTTTAGGTATTCTAGCAAAAGACTTAAGAACATCCTATTACAGTAGTACATGCAGATCCATGTTTACAGCAGCTCCATTCCTAACAGCCGATTGGTGGAAGCAGCCAATCTGTTCGTGAGAACATGAGTGGATGAGGAGCACGTGGTCGGTACACACGCACGGCACAGGACTGCTCGGCCTTGCATGAGGACCACTGAGTCGTCTGGAGGAAAAGGAGCATACCTTGGGGTGGGGCAGATGGCTCAGTAGAATAAGCACTTGCCTGGCAAGCACAAGGGCCTGAGTTCAAACCTCAATTCCGCCAAAAAAATTAAAATAAAATACAAAAATAAAAAGAGCCAGGTGAAACATACATAATAGAAAATATGTAGACAGATCTTTTGCAGATGGGAAGGAGACCCAAAGATGGACGGAGGTGGTGAGAGGGGAACGAGATATAAAAAGAATTAGGATGCATTATTAATATGCATTATGCACACATATAGGTGCATATAAATCAGCTTCCTGTGATGAATATAATCATTATGCATGGAAAACATAAACCAATAAAATAGAAAAAAGGAAGTGATAATGTCCATAAATGTTTTATACATTAAGTAAGATACAGCAGAGCACAGGAAACCTTTCTTACAGAAAACTCCAAGAAAAGGCACGACAAAACAGACAAGAATCAACTCAAAATTTACAAATAAAAAATTTTTAAATAAGCAATGGTAGTTCTATACACATAAATACAGAGTTGAGTTGCTATTATAAAGAGTATACAAGATGTGTACTATACAGAGTAACCATTATAAAGAAGTACACCAGATGAAAAGCATGAATGTGTTTTTTACATGTATCACAGTAAAAGACACATTGCCATTTATCTTCCTCCAAATACCTTCCCCCTCGCTTCAAACAAACTTCTTCCAGCTCTCTGTTCGGGTTGCATTTTTTTCCCCCTCCCACAAGTATTTATTGAGTCGCCCAACGGGTGCCAGGCACAGAACTGGGAAAGCAGCAGGACCCAAGAGGGGCACTCCTGCCAGTCAGGGGTGCGCACTAACGTTGGAGAGAGACGACTCCGGCACATCGGGTTTCCTTTAATCCCACTTCCTTTTTTTTTTTTTTTTTTCCCCCGGAACCAGGAATTGAACTCAGGCCTTTGCGCTCACCAGGGAAGCACTTATTCCACTGAGCCATCTCCCGGCCCCTTAATCCCACTTCTGAAAACAGTTCCGGAAGTCCCTTTTCATGAGTGTTAGCCACACTGTTACGACTGCCCTACCATCCTGAACTGATTCAACACCTTTACGTCCCATGGTCATTTTGACTCTGAGGAAGAGCTGGACTTGGTAAGGTGGAGGACAACACTAACATTTTTGGGACACTGCCTGGCTGTTGCATGGCACTCAGCAGCAACATTCACAGTATTTTTTATGACGTCTACATGAAGATATTCATGAAAAATGACTTCGAGACCTGTTTCAAAAAGTGGCAAGAAGGGCCAGCCAGACAGCTCAGCAGACTAAAGTCGTGCTTAAGGTAGAGCGCAGCAGGATCCCAGGCCTGCGTGCCGGCCCGCCCCCCGGGGAGTTGAGACTGGGCATGGTGGCGCTCCCCTGTAACCCCAGCACCTGGGAAGCTAAAAACAGAAGAATCACTACGAGTCTGCTCTGTGTAGTGAGACCCTGTACTAAATCCATTAAAAAAAAAAAAAAAACAAGTGGCAAGAAAGATGGACAAAGTGTTTCAAGAAAGGAAGTCTATTTTGAGGGAGATTAATGGTGACGTATCTTTTGCTATAAAACGTTGTAATTTAAACATTCACCACATATACTGCAATCTCATATGTATACACAGTGATACGCAATAACTGCCAAGGAATTATATTTATGTATAATATCAACAGAAAACAATTAACTATGCGCTGGAGTTGACAGCCGCAACCTAGTTGACACTAACAAAAACTTAATGTATAAAGTGTTTATGTAACATTTATATGTCAAATAAACACATTAACAAATTAAGATTTTTAAATGCTATTGCTAAAAAGCTTCCTAAGAACTTCCTAATGGCCCTAAGAATACTTAGATTATTAAAATAGTTCCATTTAGCAGAACAGTTTCAGAATAGTGATACTTTGTAACAAAAATTAAACAACTGAGACAGCAGCAAAAAGTTTACACAGAAACCTTATATACCTAACTAAAGTAAATAGCAATTACAGCCTGGTTGTAATCTTCCCCATGGTTTTTCTTTTACCTTAATCACAAAGGAATCTTTAAGGAAATCACATACAGTGACGGCCACATAACGACGTTTCCATAAGCCGTGGATGGCACAAAGGCCTGCACTGCGTCGCCGAAGTGTGTGGTGGGCCTTCACATACTGTGTATGTGGGTTTGTGTCACAACACTCTGAGGTTTGCACAATCACAAAACTATCACCTTGTTTCTCAGAATATGTCCCTGTCAAGTAAGTGACACTATATTTTTATAAACATTTTCCCAAAACATAGTAATGTCTTTACTTCTGTGTTCAAATAAAATGAACCACCTTGTCAGCCGGTAGATTATGATCCCATTTCTATACAAATGCCTTTCAGGGTATTCCACTTTCAAATGCTCCCTACTCATCCCGAGCAGCAATCTAGCACCTCTCTCTCCCCTTTTCTCCACCTTCAAATAAATCATCTCTTAGTTTAAAAAAAAAAAAAAAAAAAACTTCCACCTGAATACATCAAGACTAATACTAACCTAATGTCAACAATGGTCACCGCTGAATGATACAGCATTTTACTGCCTTCTTTGTATCCTACATTGCCCATATTCTCCATCTCATGAATGCTGAGGCTTACCATGGTCTAACCCATATTTTACTTTGCCCCCCTGCAGAAGCGATATGCAAGGTTGTGAAAACTACTTGAAATTCTGAATTCTGCTCTTTTCTGGGACTCACGATGTGTGGCTACTGCTCTGTCCTGGTACAGTGGGAGGCAGTGGTGCCCAGCTCCCCTCAGCTGGGAGACCAGGTGGGTAAACTCCTGACAGCACACAGCCAGCCATCCACAGCAGGGAGCTACGAGCCCAAAGGTGAGTCTGGGGGAGCCAGGGTATTAGGGAGATGACCTGCTAAAGTAGGGAGAGCTGAAGGAGGAGAGGGTGATGCCATGGAAGGAGAAATCGGTGGGTAGAAGCCGCTGGGGCAACCCGGGAGGTGTGAGCACTCAGCACCTGTCTTACAACTCCAGGGTGAAAGTCAGAGAGCTTTATGCCTTGGAAACATTTCATGGGTGCTTAATTTTTTTTTAAGTATAAATATTTACAATTTAAAGCTCTCATTCTACTTTCATATATAAATAAACTATTTATAAAGGATAAAAAAGAAAACCAACGTACCTGCCTGGCGTACTGGGAATTCCACATGGTCAGAGACTATAATCCGAAGTAAGCTGGGAGCAAAATTGATGATCTTGTATGACTGAAATTACAAATAAACATTTTTATAAAAGGCAAATAGCTACTAGCACCTACTACAGTATACATTAGCCAAATGAAAGAGAAACTTTTAACGTGAATTTCTCCAATGATAAATGAAGATTACTAAAATATTTCAAGCCAAAATAATTTCCTTTTATGTTGAAGTCTGCCAAAATGCTCCCCAGGAGTATACCAATGACACTCGCAACAGCAGGGAGTATCCACCAATCTAATATAGGTACAGCCTTAGCATTCCTCTAAAACTGTAAAACCTTTTAAATTACATTTCCTCTACTACTAAGGAAACTGCTGGTTGTTTTTTGTTGGAGGGGATTTTAATGGTTTTCTAAGTTTGTTGTTTTTATTGTTGTTCCCTCTACAAAGTCTTTATATGCTTTCTCTCTTTGTAAATGGGATATTTGGCTTTTTCTTTATTCTAAGAACTTTTTATGAATTTAAAGACAGCCTTTTATTTGACCTATTTATCACAATGTTTCTTCCCAGATTATTTGTGCTTCAACTCTGTTGATGGCACTAAAACAGAAAACGTTACCTCCTGAACACAAGATGAAGGGACAGATGAGGTTAGAGCAGTGTGCACGCAAGGGGCTGAGCTATCCACAGAGTGACTCAGAAAAGGCCTGGCCGGCCGGGAGCTGTGCTCACAGCTGCCCTGGGCTCCCGCAGCACCTCTGGAGCTCAAGCTGCACAAGGGATGGTGCCGACCGAGCCCCTGTGGCGCCTGCTGTCATTTCACCCGAGCTCAAGCTGCACAAGGGATGGTGCCAACCGAGCCCCTGTGGCGCCTGCTGTCATTTCACCCGGCAGGCAGGGTCCACTTCTGTCTGGTCCCAAGTTCCACAAGGACCTCAGAAGCAAAATGCAAAAACTAAACCATAGCAGCCGACATGCAGCCCTGCCGAATCCCTGAGCCCACACCCGGCCTTGCCCGGGACACTCCTGAAATGGACTCATCTCAGAGCACAGCATCCCAGGGGGCCTGCCAGTTCCCAGGGTCCTGGTCACAACCAGGGCCTAGACACCGGCCTCTTCAATACACCTCCAGGCTGGTGCACCAGTCATTCTTTTACTTAGTCACTTCCTATCAATTTACTTCCCATAGCATTTGTAAAAGGAAAGGCTTGAGTAAACTTTAAACACTAAAAAATTAATTTGGAGAAAACTGACATCTCCAAACCACTGATCCTGTCCACCCAAGAGCACTGCTATTCAAGCCTTTCATAATCTTCAATCAAAACTTCAATTAGTTTGTAATTATTCCTCCTTTTATCCACAATCTTGAGAATCTTAAATGTTATACTCAAGATAAATTTTTTTATTCATAATTGAAACCACCAGAATTTTAAAGTATTTTTAAAAGATTTGACAGCAATTTACATGAGAAAGTAATATATTCAGCCAAGCTTTCCACAAATTCCACATATGCACTATAAAACTCGAAGTTGTTGCTTTTTACTGAAAGATTTGCAGTACATCAAAACACATATAGTTCATTCCAAACACAAAAACTGCACTTAGTTGTTTTTTTTTTAATCTTACTATGGATAAATACAAAAAACTTTACATTAAAATTAAGCAACTTATTTGAAAGTAGATTTAATTTCCAATCGCTGGCATGGTACACATTTTGCTTGTCACTCTCAAAACTTCTGAGATGTCCTCTTCCGGCTTGGGTTCAATTTGGGTTTCAACTTCAGCAGCCAAAGCCTTCAGGGATCAATTTAAACATATTCTCATACAGCTTTCTCACAAATATTACTGGATGGCTCTGCCCCTCTTTGGGCTCCAAGTTCCAGCAAAACAAGAGGATGCATTTCTCCATGGTTTCCTGAGGATATTTACTTTGTGTCTATGAGGTTTTCTGAAAGTTTTCTTGCTTAGCTAAATTTTGCGTTTCATGAGAACTCTGAACAGAGTGAGGCTGGTTTTTTCACTGTTTTCGGAGTTTTTGTTTGGTTGGTTTTTGGGGTTTTTTAGGGAAGGGCCTACAGGGTGCTCAGGGTCTCACTACTAGGTCAGACCCGTAGTGATCCGCCTGTTTACAGTTTCTGGAGAGCTGGGATTACAGGCACATGCCACCATGCCCAGTCTCAACTGCCGGCTCAGAGCACCCCAGGGGCGGGGCCGGCAGGTCCGGGGATTGAACCTCCATCCCTGCACCTGCTTGCAGGCGCTTTAATCCGCTGAGCTATTTGGCTGGCCCTTGCTTTTCCATTTTCTGACTCCCTGCTGCATCGCATTACCCTTCCAGGTCTCCCAACACGCTGGGGGTGGGGGGACGGGTCTTTCTGTACTTGCTGTCCCCTCTGCTGGGTCACAGTTACCTGCATGTTCCCACACTGTCTCGGGCACCGCCTCTGGGCGCCGGTGACCTGTGGCCCATGAGTGTGTAACCCTCAAGAAAGCACCACCTATTCTACAGCTCAACAAATCTATGACTCACTTGAGAAAACTACTGGGCAGGATGGGCTGGAGGTCGTTTGCCCAGCACGGGAAGCCCTGGGTTCAGACCCACTGCCACGCAGAAAGCAGATTCCAAACTGGCAGTGACCATATTTATTTCCCTGTTGAGAACTAGTAAGAGGATGATTTATTAAAGGGAGACAACGTTTTGAATGAAGTACTAAGATACCTACCCCTACCCCAGGACAATGCTAAGAGCGCAGAGGAGGGCCGCACAGGACACACTTGGGGGATGGGAAAAAGTGAGGAAAATTCACTCTTAGCATCCTTGGAAAAAACTAAAAACCCATTTTCCAAGCAGTGTCACAAACACAGACAGGAAACCAATCACTGATGAAAGAAAAAATAAGGGCCCGAGAAAACAGGCCTTCAGAGAATTTACCCTCCAGACACAGGCTTTGGGGGGTGTGGCTCCCTCTTACAAGCAACTGGCCAATCAGTGAGTGCCCTGAAGGAGCTGGCCCCACCCCCTGCACTGCGCATCTGTAGGGAGACCAGGAGAGCCCAGCACAGGGACTGGAGCTACAGCTCCTAGCACGTGAAACGGAACACATTTTTAAAAATACTTAAAAGACAAAGTCAGATATTACAGTGTGGTGAAGGACAATATACTGCCAAGTATGGTGGCATTCTGGGAGGCTGAGACAGGAGGATCTTAAGTTCGAGGCCAGCTGAGGCAACTCAGTAACTTAGTGAGATCTTGAAGAAAAAAAAAAAACAAGTGATGTAGCTTAGTGAGAAGGTGAGAAGGCCCCGGATGTAGCACCCCCCGGCCCCCACCATAAAGCGCAAGCAGGACAAGCACACAAAACTCAGCAAGGCAGCATGATGGTACACAGCTGTGATCCCAGCCCTCGGGAGGTTGAGGCAGGAGCAGCACTGGGAGTCTGAGGCCAGCCTGGGCTACACTGTGAATTCAAGATCAGCCTAAACTATGTAGCAAAAGCCTTTCTCAAAAAAACAAAACAAAGATAACCATGTTTTACAATAAGAGTAACTAGTCTCCCTATAAACAATTCTAAAAAACTTAAGAGCATACCAGAGTCCAAAACATCACACGAACTATAAATGCTACATACAGAGCATGACAATTAACTTTATCTGGTTCACTGAGCTGAAGTGAACCCAGGGCCTTGTGCACCAATAAGCTACTCTTGGAAGTTTCAGGGAAACGTTCTGTGATGAGTTGGATAGATCCAGGGCAGGGCAGGAGGAAGGTGAAATTGAACTGGACTGAAATAGATTGGATCGGATGAAATGGAAGGAAACATTAGGAACAAAAAAATAGGACTGAGCCTTAAATGTCTCCTAGTTCTGCAAATCTTTTTTTTTTTTTTTTTTTTTTTTGTGGAACCGGGGATTGAACTCAGGCCCTTGCGCTCACCAGGGAAGCACTTATTCTACCAAGCCATCTCCCCAGCCCCTGCAAATCTTCCTACCTGCCTGTCCACTCCAATAACATCACCTGCACTCACGTACTGATAAATCCGAAACAAAACAAGGTTAGGCTAAAAGGGCGGGACAGTATTCAAAAATATGTTCCCTAGTGGCACTATCAAAGTAACCTCCAGCCTCCTCTCCTGGTGTACTCATAGATTTCCAGTCAGCCCTCGTGTTGCTCTTCCTAGCGCACCCAGGAGCTGCTCTTCAGCCACTCAGTCTCCAACACCGGTGCTGTGAAGGCATCAGGTACTGCCTTCAGGGGGACAGTTCCTTCATGGAAGGCATGCTGGGCTTCAGTTCAGCAGTCTTCTGTTCCAGCCAGCGTTCCGCTGACCTTTTATCTCTTCAGAATTCTGGATTGCATCTGCTCCAAACTCCACACAGATTTCCAATTATGCTAATCCCGTTCAAAGATTCACAACCCTATCAAAATCGACTCCAACAGAAACACTGACTGGAGACAGCTGTTCTCACACTTTAGGCACCCCAAATCACGGCAGAGCTAGTTAAACACAACTGGTTTCCACCCCCTCGGTTTCTGATTCTTTCAAGTCTGGGTTGATGCCCCATAATTTGCATTTCCAACAAGTTCCGGGTGACACTGATGCTTCTGGCCCTGGACAGCACTGTGAGAGCCCTGTACTCAGGAATATTCCTTCATGCTTTAGGGTTAGCACAGCCTTAAACCGCCTTTCCTCCTTCCTACGTGTAGACCTTAATTTGAACCTTTTAGTACGAAGTCAATGGCTCACATATACATGTATGAAGGAGGGGAAACAACTAGCGTTTGGGATCACTAAAAAAGTCAGGGATGACCCTGAAACAAAGTCAAGGCCCGCTAGGAAGAAGGAACGGAGGGGAAAACAAACTTTTTTTTTTTTTT